GTGTGTGTGTGTGTGCGTGCGTGCGTGCATATATATATATATATATATATATTCTGATTAATTTATCATTATTCTCAAGTGAATCATAATCATACAAAGTACGTCGGATAAATGACACGCAACGTATTTCAAAAATAAATTCAAAAACAAATTAAGAGTGTAAATGTGTCAGAATTTTTATCGTTTTCTATTTATTATTTCTCAAAAATAATACGTATCTTTAGATTACTGTTAATTTGCCAAAAAATTTGATTACCTTAGTTTGTCTGCTGTAATATAAAACTTATAGAAATTAAGATCAGAAGTTCCCGGAATAAACAGAAAAATTTATGAAAACAAATTATAACAAATAAAATTTTCCCACACAATTTGTCGTTATTTTGCCGACGTACATTATACATCATCCACTCGGTCGTGCACCCGCCAAATACTTAAATTCCACAAAAAGAAATAAAAAGAGAGGTATAACCGGTGCGGTGGAGCGACAGTGGAAAGCGGAGAGACAGTATGGACAGATAGAGAAGACGTGAGAAAGGAAAGGGAAAGAGAAAGAAAGAACGAAAGAGGAATAGGGAGAGAGGGTGAGAGAAGGAGACGTGAATACGATGAAAGAGAGTGCTAAGCCGAGCTACTCTGTGTCTGCTAGAACCGGTATAGAGAGAAGAGAGAGAGAAAGAGAAAAAGCGCAAAATCAAGTCGATCGAGTGAAGTCTGAGAGCAGCATCTGTTGACCCGCTGCTGTGTGCCCTTGGTTTCTTCAGCGTCGGCGGCCCAGGCGCACCGCGTCCTCCGGCTGCCATCCACCTGGGGCTCGTCCCGGCCGTCAATCATCGGCCGTGGCGATGACTTCTTCGTACGCTACGGGGACAAGGAGCGCGAGGCGGTGGCCTCGTTCGATTTCCTTGATGAATTCGTCGCGGCGGTGACAACGTCGTCAGCGATAGGTCCCTCCTCATTGCTCGGCTCGGACAGCAGTCCTCTCGACTTGGACAATAATGCACCATCTGCTGATCTCAACAGTGACATCATGAAGCTCTCGCCATTCTAGGATCAACAGCGACAGATTGATTTTATAAAACGCGTAAATTTTTTTGTCTGAATACGAGTTCTTCTCAACTGATGAAACACAGACTTCATTCTACAGTATAAATCGGAGAATAACTTTTCTTTAATTCTAAACTTTGTTTTAATCTCTTTCTAACGAATTGTTTTTAATATTATATTTTTTAATTAGAAATTGAGTATCAGGTTGCACCTCGCTCTGATGAAATGAACAGCAATGTTTATGAAACATTGATATTCTGATCAGATACATTTGAATATGAAGATACGTGAAAAATTTCTATAATATAGAAATTTTTAATAAAATCATAATTTTATATCTTTTTTTTCATAGTAAACGGATATAAAAACGGATTATTTCTCAATTATGAATCGTTAAATGTATTTCATTTTACTGTACTTATATACTGAATTTAGCGAAAATTGTTGGCAATTGAAGAGTTAAAGAGCTCCTTAATATATTAGTCTTAATCTGTAATTATTTATTTTTCAAAAAATATGTTACAGTAATCAGGTTTTACTTTTTTTTATATGCCGACTTTGTAACATATATAATATGTATAACATAATTTTTCTAACATGTGTTTTGTATATATAAATTTTACAGTATCTTCTGGAAAGAGTCTCGCAAATTCACTAAACACGACATCATTATTAAATTCTTTCCAATTATATTAATTATAATGAATCAAAACGACGAACTTGGATGTCTTATACTATCCATATTTACATAATAAAAAATAAATAACTATTTGCAACCAACATTATGCTAATAGACGCGTTTTGTCAAAGATCGATTATTTTGTAATCATGTAAGACATGGTGGAATCAGAATTCTGATTCCATCATGATGTAAGAGATGTCATTAGGTCAATCACTCTCTATCTCCTTATGATAAGAGAACAATTTGTACATTATTCTGCAATCTTCAACATCGTGTTTCAAGTTTCAGAATCTTACAGTCCTGACGTTTTATTATTAATTGTAAATAATTGTGAAACTCGAAATATTGCGCATTGAAGATAGATTTACAGTCTGAGACAGAAGTTTGTTTTGTCTCTTTTTCTCTGCGAGTTTCTTCTTATTTCAGATATAAATACTGTGGTATAGTCGAAGGTAAATGAAAATGGAAGCTGATTGACTAGGATGGATTAGCTCGAACTAGATACAAACTGTGCTCATTTGATCCGAGCTCTTGTTCTCGACTAGAGCCAATCTGTGTCAAGTTAAATAGAATTGCCCGATATCTTTTTCAGCATAAAATTATATAAACTTTGTGTTACATTCACATTGTATCTCAATGCGTTAAACGAAAAGGATCTACTAATGTGCGGTTAAATATTAATCAAAGAATTAGTAATAAGGATATGTAAGTAGTAATACTATATGTGACACTAAAGTAGTGTGTATGATGGGCACGAATCGTCACGATTGGAAGGCTCTCGTACCAGAATGAACGCACTCTGGAGACATAAATGTAGATACAATTCATCATGTAGCCTTTTTAAGAATATTTCGGATATTGTACATTGCGATTATAAAAAGTGAGATCTCTGATAGCTTGAAAATTCGATTATAATATTCTTGTGCAAATATCATTGCAAGTATCATATTTATTAAAAAATATACGAATTGTAATATTATGAACAGTCGAATTTCTTGTAATGTTAAAATTTAATTTATATTTATTAATTTCATATTTGTTAAATTAATTGAATTCTACTTTCTGCGCCGTGCTCCCATTAATCTGTTCTTTAATTTTGTTTTTTTTTAAATATACATTTATTCTAATTGAAAGTTAAATTAAGTAAATAATCGCGTTGTAATTACATTTAATTTCTTAATATAATATAAGTTTAATTTATATTTAGAACTTCTAGAATCAAGAATTGCCAAATTGATGAATTCCGTTAAATATGATTGATCTCTATCAAAAATCTTGCATTTGATTAAGAGAAGTCAGAAAAGTACCATTTCCATCGAAAACGCATTTTAGACAACATTCGACCTGAAGTATCATTAAATCATTATAATGACTTCGAAACATCATGGCACGATCACCTTCCAAAGTGAACTTAGAGAGAATAGATTAAGAGGTATATTCGTCGATTTTCTATAAATTGTTAAATATTTTATACTCCATCCCTTCTCACCTTCCAATCCCATCATTAATCGTGAATGAACGCAAAGAATGAATATTAATTGACAATTCGGTCCACGATGAACTATCGATGATGAACTATTTTTTGCTGTCCTTAGAGATAAGAATGTAAAACGAGTCTGTACATTTCACTTCCGAACTTTGTAACATAGTAGATTGCGAAGAAAAGAGAGAGTGAGAGCGAGAGTTTTTTCTGCGTAAAAAAATAATGATTACTTTGTTACGTGAATAAAGATAAAAGGAGTCACTTCGACATAATTTTTACGAAATTTGTCGCTCCGAAATAAGCGAATTTTTTAGTAACGCATTTGATCGGATTATAGGCGTAATATCATTAGCATACGTAAACATAGTAATGAGTCGATAGAGATTGAGACATTTTACATGTAGCTGTATACCTGCACGAAATTCAATATTCGAGATGGAGAGGCTGCATGGATTAAAGGTTGCCCTACATTTGCTCGCGTTGCTGCTATTCTAGTCAAGCAAGTGAGATCACGATTTTTTTTTATAATCTTGAATCTGGTCACATTTATCAATTCTATACTACATTACCAAGTATAACTATATGAATAATGAGTGTTATTCATATAGCAGGCATTGATTAATGCTAGAAAAATAATTTTAACAATTGGAAAATTGTATTAAACTATGAAGATTCGAATAATTTAGCGAATTTTTTAAATATAACATATTATCTTTTCTCGCAACATTCTGCGAACATTTGAGAATAATATTGATAATTTGAATTATGATCTTTGTAAATGATATTTTATTTCATCACGATTTTATTTAAATCGAAACGAAGAATGTGAAACGATTAAATTTTATATTATAATATATAAATATATCCTTGTTATTATTATTTATTAATCAATGATATGATATTTAAAAATTAATAATATCTAATAAGTGATGACAGAAAATATCATTAATAGTTAAGTAAAAAGAAATTTGCTAGTTTACATCGGCACCATGTAGAGTTAATTAATGTTTAATACTCTTTCTGCTGCCGCTATATTAATTCCACTCGAAAGATCGTATTTTATTCATATTTATTTTAATTATAAAATGCTGATTATTAAGAAAAGCAAACTCTGTTCATAAGAAAACAACTTTCGTCCTGCAGCCTAAAAATAATAGACTAATAATATAGCTTTAAGATTTGTAAGTTCTATATTGGAGACAGCAATGTCTCCATCTTTATTCCCGGTCGCAGTAGTGAAGTCAAACGATAATTGCGTGAAATAAGACTTGCTGAATTATGATGTACATAGTATGTATCATAGCTCAATGCAAATGTAAGTTATCCTCTCTTGAACTTAATAAATAATGACAATATATATGAACGTCAAGAAAAATTCGCTTGTAATCATTTATTATTATTTACATTTATTTATTTATGCGGAGCTGGAGTTTTATTTCGCAACAATAGAAGAAGCAATAACAACGCAATGGCAGCAATGGTAATCGTATATGAGTGTGCACATCGAAAATGAAAGTAATAATTAAATGACAATAATGAACGATGACAAAAATCAAAACATTTTTTATTTCACTTTTTCAAATTTTTATTGAGAACAAGTAAGCTTGAGACAAAAAGGACAACAATGGTGCTTTTCATTTAGTGACACAAACCAACATAATCGTCATTCTATCTTTTTTGTATTTAATGAGTAATAAAGATAGAACGACATTTGTGTCATCAAATGAAAAGCACTTTATAATAGAGATGTGTAAATCAAAATTTTTTGATGTCGAGTCAAAATGGAATTTCATTTCTTCCCAACTAAAGCTAAATATTCATAGAAAGTTCGATTCGTATTCCCAAATAATGTACTAAATATTCCCAATGTATTACAATAAATATTCTGGCACAGTGAAAGAAACGTCGAATATACAAACGTGAATAAAATATTCAGAATATTGTATGAATACTTCTTGTACTGGCGTTGAAAGCCACTTTTTTGTGTCTTTCGAGCATTTATTTCAATAACAAAATGTTTGAATACCTCAATCAAAGTATTAATCTTCGGAAGATATGATTTTTTTCCCACTTTTCTGGCAGATGTTTGAATTCTGAAAAAATGTCTGTCTTTTGAGCCAATTTATTCAACAATTTTCGATTTTGCCGTAATTATACGGCAATGTATCATCCAGAGCGTGTTGCATCAATCGAAACAGATGATAATCTCTTGGTACCAGGTCCGGAACGCAATACTGGAGAGCAAAAATACGCTGGATACGAGGAAACCACCCATTCAAGTTCTATCAGTTTTGTTTCATGACTATAGCAACAGGGAGGCCGAGCATTAACATGGAGAAGAATCTTTCAATGATTTGATGCAATTGATAGTCATTTTTGCATTAAATTATTATTCAAACGCTTCAATTTTTGTCGATAACGTTTGGCGGTGATTGTTTCGTTTAGTTTTAACAGTTCATAATAGACAACACTTTCCCTCTCAAGTAATACACAGCGCTTACAAAGTGCTAAAAAAGCGCTTTTTTAGCACTTTGTAAGCGCTGTGTACTACGCGAAGCAATCCACTCCTGACTCTCTCCCCTCCCTCCTTATAAAGGAGCGCATGATTTCTATAATTGCAGTTGAGGTTCGAAAATCTGTTATGTAGACAGTGGGGTGTATAGACTTTTAGTGCTTATTGAAGCGTAAAAAAATAACCGCCCCGAACAAAAAAAATAATATCCGCTTGGGACCTAACTGCCTAGAAGTTATAGTCTAGACAGTAAAAAAACCGTTCTAAAAAAACTGTTCTCACACTCCACTGTCTATGGATTAGAAATATTCCAAGCGGACACCGTTTACACTGCAATTAAAAAGCACTAGTCTATACACTCCACTGTCTACATCAGTCTTCCAAATGGTCACGTGATCGTGTCCCTACCAAGATT